CAGGAAGGACAAAATAAAGGGGAGAGGAGGAATGACAGAGGTGGAAAGAACTGTGTCTCAGGTTTAGAGAAATCGTCACATGTCACTTTAGCTTATAATACATTGGCCATGTTTTTGTCTAGGCTATCTACAAAGGATGCTGTAAAGGGAAGTCTTTATTCTGAATAGCCATAAGTTCAGTTAAAATTTTAGGGTTCTATTCCTTTGAGAATATAAGAGAGTAGATTTTGGGGAAAAACTATCGGTCTTTGACATGGGATATCATGGTAGATAGATGATAGATCTCAAAGAACACGTTAGTAGTAACTTTTATTTACTAACACAATGGCTCTTCTTTAGAGGCTTGAAGAATCGTGCAATGAGATCACGTCTATATGAAACTTGCTTATTTCATAAGCTCAAAAACAAAAAAAAAAAACGAAAAACTACTGCTGGTTTGAAGGCTGCCATGAACCCAATCGCCCATCTCTTGAATGTTTATTTCTCTATCTAGCATGCGTTTGCTGATAGACAATTTTGGGGGATTTTGTTTTTATCTTAAAATGAATTATGAGGAATTCTAATAGCTATATTTCACAGTGTTCCCATATATCTGTGTATATATGTGTATGTATATACATATACACATATTTATACATAGACACATATACATATATGTGTGTAAATACATACTTTGTATATATACATATATATGTGAAAAGTTCTTTACTCCTTATTCCAAAAACTATTAAATTTTTCCTTTCTAAATGCAAATTTCCTAAATTTCTAAATTAACAGCTATTGAGACAGGTGGTAGAAGTAGAGACTAGGTGACATTCTAACCAAAAATATTCAATGCCGTTATGCATACATTTCTGACAGGTGTATAAAAATGGTACGGACACTTTGGAGAACTGTTTGGCAGTGAGCTGAATATGTGTCTGACTTATGTCCCAGGACTTACACTTAGATATGAGTGTGTATGTCCACAAACATACATGAACAAAAATGATCTTTTGTTCTTTTTCTAGACTTTATGTGCTGGCTAGGATAATCTCTAGTTTCAAATACAAGTAGTTATTGTGAATATCCCCATCTTGCACCCAAAATCAATCATGGATGTGGTAATGCTGGCTATCTTATCATTAACATTAGCTATAATGTGGCTGTAGGTATTTAAACTCTACAAATATTTTACTGAGTTTTTATCATTATGAGATTTCAAAATTTATAAATATTTTTAAACATCTTTTATAATTATGTTTCCTCTGTTAGACCAATTTAACTACACTCTTTTCCTAAAATAAGTCCCTCGCTTCAGAATTTTGGCTTCTCTGGTATAAGATATAGTAGCCTATAATTACCTCTTTACATAACGTCCTTTTCAGGTTTTAATATCTATGTTTTAGTGGTCTCATAAAATTAGCAATTTTTTTCTTTCCTTTCTCTCTGAAAGAATCTTAGAATAATGTTCTTTATTGCCTGTATATCAGGAACACATCACCAGGGAACAGATGAACCTGGAATTTTCCTTTAGAATATGTTTTATCATTATAAATTCAATATTTTAAACATATTTAGAATTATTTAAATATTCTAATTATTTGTACTTGTTTTGGTAAGTCTTGCTTCTCAAGAAACTTTTTATTTTATCTAAGATTTCATCTTATGAATTTTTTAATTGTTATAGAACCTCTAATGATATTCTCTTTTTTGTTTATGGTATTAGTAATTTGTGTTTACTGTCATTTTTCTTGATGAGCTTTGCTACAATTTCATCATTTTTGTTATCCTTTTAAAAGAATGATTGTTGATTTTCTCTCATGTAATTTTTATTTTCTATTTTTATTTTCTTCCTACTTTCTTCAATTTATTTCAAAAATATTGTAAACTTTGCATTGTAATCTTTTAAAATGTAGATTATTTATGAGTGTGTTGAATAATTTCCAACCATGTGAAGATTGATTGGTTAGCTTTTTGTCATCCACTTAAAGTAAAATCCACTGAGATCAGAGAATATCCTCTATATGATTTCAAATATTGATTTTTTTTTATGACACACATGTCATCAATTTTTAAATGTTCCATGTGTATTTTAGAGAATTAGTATTTTGTAGTTTCATAATGTTCAATGTATTTCTACCAGGTCAGTTAAATTGATCATGCAATAATTTTATTTTTATCAACTATTATCTGTCGATTACACAGAGAGCTATTTTAAAACCTCCAGCAATATCTGTTAAATTTATCTCACCTTCATCAGCTTCTTGATAAGTATTTTGAAGCCGATTATTAGGTAAATACAAATTTAAGATTCTTTCTATTTTACCACATAAAATACCTTTTTAAATAATAATAATTTCCCCTTAAGGTTTGCTTTTTCAGGTATGAATATAGTGACACCAGCTTCCTCTACATATGTTTGCATGGTATAAATTTTTCCATCTTTTTACTTTTAATTTGTCTATGTCCTTGTATTTCTTGTCAAAAGCATATATTTGCTTCTTTTTTTAAGTCCACTCTAGTGGCTCTCAACATAGGCAATTTTGCACCCCCACCTCCCAAGGCGTATTTGACAATGTCTAGATTCGACTTTGGTTGTCTTAGAATTAACATACAATGAACAGGCTGACCTCCACAACAGAAAATCATCTAGCCCAAAAGGACACCAGCTAAGGTTTAAAAACACTAATTTAGTTTGCCAATCTTCATTATTGTATGTAAATATTAGCATAGCTCATTCTGCATGGGGCATCTCACTATCAGATTTATGTTTTCCCTTCTGAATTTCATTTCTTCCTTGTGTACCTGTAAATTAATCAAGACTTTACAATAAATTTTATCTTATTTATTGGAGTCTTTTATCTAGGTATTTCAAAATCTCATTTTGGTGGCAGGAGAAATTGTAATATATCTTTTCCTTATCAGAAACTTTTTAAAATCGATAACTGACCACATGTAACACCAGAAGAAACTTTGAACACTTTATCTCTTTTTGACATTTATGTTATTTTTGTCCTATTTTTTGCTTCTCCATATGTTCTTATTTCCTTAGAAAATTATTTTTGGTATGGCTATAATCAGTAAATGTTGTTTTAAAAAATTTATTTTTAATTATAGTTGACATACAGTATTATATTTGTGTCAAGTGTACTTCAAAGTGATTTGACATTTATATACCTTACAAAGTAATTACCACAAGTCTAGTAACTGTCACTTTACATAGTTATTATAATATTATTGACTCTATACATCTTTGTGACGTTTTATAACTTGAAGTTTGTACTTGTTAATCAGTCAGTATTCTTTAAAATTGTCTATATATTTACTCTTGTGGATGTTTTTCTTCATTATGTTCTGTATTTACATTGGGATAATTTCTTTTTGTTTAAAACGTTTTTCAGTGTGTCTTAATATAGTCTGAAAGATTCTTACAGCATTTAAAAAAAAAATAATGTCTTTATTTTTTCTGTCTATTTTTGAAGAATATTTTTCCCTGAGGATAGAATATTAGATATTTACTTTCTTTTTCATGCATACTTGAAAAATGTTAATCCATTTGCCCTGCATTTTATAATTTCTTTGAAAAGTTGACATGAAATCTTAACTGTTGTTCTATTGACCAGGAAGTACCTATGTATGGGTTTCTCTGTCTTTTTTAACTTGGGATATTCTTCCCTTTTTAAATATGTTTGTTGAAAACTTTTCACTTTTGAAAAAAATAGTTATTTTATCTTGAAATACTTATTTTATTCATTGTCTCCTTTTTTTCTAGAACATTAATTACATGTATTTCATACCATTTGATTGGGTCACACATGTCTCTCGTGCTCTGCTTTATCTTCTAATTTTTTTCTCTCTGCTCTGCAGTTTAGATAATGTATATTAGAGTTTGTTTGAGTTTATTAGTCTTGTCTTTTGCTTTATCTGATATGCTTTAAATCCTTCCTGTGAGTTCTTATTTTTAACTTTTGTGGAATGTTTTTTTCATTTCAGAACGCCATTCGTTTCAGTTCTTTTTTTTTTTTTTTTTTAAGAATCGAATAGGCATAATGGATGTACAAAAAACTGCACATATTTAATACAGAGAATTTAATGTTTTTGGACATGTGCATACACCCATGAAACCATAACCACAATTAAGTTTAAAGACATATTGATCACCTCTAAAAATTTCCTCATGTCTCTTTATTTTGTTTTGTTTTATTTTATTAAATTTATTGGGGTGATATTGGTTAATAAAATTATGTAGATTTCAAATGTATAATTGAATAATACATCATACCTATATGGCATTGTGTGTTTGTCACCCCAAGCCAAGTCTTCAGTCACCATATATTTGACCCTTTTTACCCTCTTCTGCCTCCCCCATGCCTTTTCCCTATGTTAACCCCCATACTGTTATCAGTGTCTATGAGTTTTTGTTTATTTATCTAATTTCTTCATTGTTGCTTTCAGTTTTATATCCCACATATGAGTGAAATCATACAGTCTCCACTTTTTCTATCTGACTTTTTTCACTTAGCATGATATTCTCAAGATCCAAACATGTCGCAAAATGTAGTATTTCATCTTTTCCTGTGGCTGAGTAATATTCCGTTGTGTTGTAGGAATAGTTAACATGAGATCCCATCTTTTAAAAAACATTTAAGTACACAAAAGAGTATTGCCAACTATGAGCAGTATGTTATATAGCAGATCTCTAGAACTTATTCATCTTGCAGAACTAAAACTTTATACCCATCGAACAGCTTCCCATTTCCCCCTTCCTCCCAGAGAGACAGCTGCACACTCGTATCTACCCCAGTATTATTCACAGTAGCCAAGATATGAAAACAACCTAAATGTCCATCATCCAATGAACGGATAAAGAAAATGTATATTCATAGAGGAAAGTATTATTCAACCTTAAAAAAGAAAGAAATCCTTCAATTTGTGATACAAGTCAACCTGGAGGATATTATGCAAGTGAAATAAGCAAGTCATAAAAAAGTCAAATACTGTGTGATTCTATTTGTAAGAAGTTTCTAAAATAGCAAATTCATAGAAGCAGAGGATAGAATATTCCTGTTTAAATGTATTAATCTTCCCTCGAAATATTTCATCTTAACCAAGTTTTCTAATTTTTTCTCTATTTTATTCAAAATGTTAAATATAGTATTTTTTTGGTCTTTTTCGTACTCTAGCATATAACTCTTCTATAGTACTGCTTATATTTGGTGCTTTCTTATTTTTTTATGCATTCTGGCTTTTTATATGTAATTAAAATCTTCATAGTAACTGGAGATGACATTACTTTCTACAGGGGAGGGTTTCACTTTCCTGAAAAAGCATGAAGAATGAGACTGATTATGTGAATTCAATTATTAATTGGTCTTCTGGTTTTTAAGCATTGCACCAGTTTCAGGAGTATAGATTTTTCAAAAAGTTAAGAGCTGAGACTCTCCTTCCAGCCCTTAAGCTCTGTAGGAAACTCAGTTTTAATTCTTTGAATTTAGCCTCCGGCCTACACCTCTTCAAATTGCTGCAAATATCTTGAGGGAGCTGCTGGGCTTGCATGATGCAGGCTTTTATTTCTGGGGGGACATTATTAACCAAACACCTAGAGACTGAGAAAGATTGCACTCTGTCTTTCTAGTTCATTCTGAATCTCTAGTGTCAGTGATCATCTTCTAGTACTGAGGAAAGAAAATTCTAGCCCTTCTGCGCTTGACTTGAAGCAGGATCAAAATCTAGCAAGTGTCTTGAAAAGAAAATCTACATTATATTTATTTCTGGCTGCTTCCTGTGGCAGGACTGTGTGTCTTCTAAGCACAGCAAGAGTTGGGGAAATTTCAACCTGCCCTTGTGGTCCAGATCAGCTTCTTTCACACTCTACCTCCGACCCCTTTCAAGTTCTTGAAGGGAAAAACTGTGGTGTTTAAACTTCTATATAATCCAGTTCATCTTGCCAGTTTACATAACTGTTACTGCTCCACTGTTTTCTCTTTCCTCAGAGCAGTCACAAGGCACAAGTTCAGAATCAGTAGCTCTTTGTTTTGGTAGATCACAATCATTAATATTTGTATTGCTGGGGATACCTCTAAATGTTCCTCTACTTTTGAGAAGTTCTCCACTTAAGACTGTCTATCTATCTATAACCTGTTATCTATCTATCATCTATCTATCATCTATCTATCTATCTATCTATCTATCTATCTATCTATCTATCTATCTATCTATCTATCTATCATCATCTAGCTAGCTAGCTAGCTATCATCTATCTATCATCTATCATGTATTTATCTACCTATCATCTGCATCATCAATTTATCATTTATCATTTATCTATCATCCATTATCTGTCTGTTCTTATATCTATTATTTGGTCTCCAGGTCTGCTCAGGCTCAGATATGGCTGAAACTCTGAAAGGAAATACAACCATGTGTGGTGTAGCCGGCAAAGTATCTGCCAAAGATTCTACTGGTTTCTCTGAACGCTTGAAGAGTCCTCCATGCATGAGGCCTGCATTTTCAAGGGTGAGATAAAGTCAGCTCACCTCTCCATGTCTATATCTCTCTGAGTTCTAAACCACTCCACTTCTGGTTTCCTTAATAACCACTCAGTTTTAACAACATATAAAGTCTATGTCTTGCCTAGTTTTTATTGTCACTTTTGAAAAAATGCTATTTTAATAACAAACTACTCCTTCCACCAAGAAGTAAGAGTGTTCTATTATTTTATAAGTACTGTTACCTATGTTTTTCTAACTCTTAATTTTGAAACATTTTAAAATTACAGAAGAGATTCAAAGATAACACAAATTTGCAAGAATGGTTAACTATCGTTTATGTGTCAAATTGCATAAATGTATCTCGATTATAGTTCTATTTGTGATCATATCTGTGATATGATTTTCAAGAAATTATCTATTTTCAGGTTGATGTTACGTTAACAAAGCCATAGAGGATATTGAGTCAAGTCGAGGTTCTCTTCCAACATATTGACCTTTTTGCTGCATCTTTCACATCCTTATTCCTGAGGCTGTAAATCAGTGGGTTGAGCATGGGGATCACCAAAGTATAAAACACAGCAGAGACCTTCTCCTGTTCCAGGGAATACTGAGAGCTTGGCTGAATGTAACTAAAGGTCACAGACCCGTAGAATAAGGTCACAGCGGTCAAGTGGGAGGCACAAGTAGAGAAGGCTTTGCGCCTCCCCTCAGCTGAACGAATTCTCTGGATGGCAATGATGATGCGGATGTAAGAGACCATGATGATAATGAAAGTGAACATTGCAATGACCCCAGAAAATACCAAAATCAGCATCTCATTTTTATGAACATCAGAGCAAGAGAGCCTCAGAAGAGGAGGAAAGTCACAGAAATAATGATTCACAATGTTAGGACCACAGAAGTCTAGTTTGAGCAAACCTATTGTGTGTGTCAGAGAGTTGATGAGGCCGCCCAAGTAAGATGCAAGAACCATCTGGATACAAACTCTTTGGGTCATAATGACTGCATACAACAAGGGATTGGCTATTGCCACATAGCGATCATACGCCATCACAGACAGGAGGATGCCCTCTGTGGTTACATAAACTGAAAAAAGGAAACTCTGCAAAACACAGCCAGAAAATGTGCTGGACTTGTGTTTTGATAGGAAATTGACCAGCATCTTAGGAGCAAAGACAGTAGAGTAGCAGATATCACAGAAAGAGAGGTTGCTAAGAAAGAAGTACATTGGAGTATGAAGTTGAGCATTTAACCAGATCAGAGTGATCATTCCCCAATTACCTACCATAGTGATAAAATAAATAAAGGTAAAAAGCAGAAAGAGAGGGATCTGCAAATTTGGATTTTCCGTTAAACCTACCAGAATGAATTCCTTCACACCTGTATGATTCCAACCTGCCATGCATTCAGGTTTATTCAGCTCTTTAGCTGCAGAACAGTTGATACCACTCAGATGAAACAGTATGATTTCCTCCATGATCTGGTATCCATAATAGCAAAGACCAATGAGCTTTACCCTGTAGTTAGATGAAGAAAAGAAATTAACTTCAGCAGTGGACCTTATGTGTGCTAGAAAATCCACCTGTAGTGATTCAATTTATTGTGACTAGAGATTATTTTATTCCCTGCTTCTCAGTTTCCACATCCTAAAAATTGGAGAAAAGAAACCTTCTTAGAGTACAAAACTCTTAATAGATAGAACTGACATTCAAATACAGATATGCCCCATACTAAACCCCTGATTCATTCTATGACATGTAACTCTTTAGCTTATATGTGATACAAACTGTGGCGCTCTGTGATAGAAATTATTTCCGTATCTCGTGGGTAACTTGTCCCACGTTTTCACTGGCAGTTAACTCATGATGCTCACTTTCATAGTACGCAATCCCCTTCCTTTCTAAATCTCAAAAGAACTGCCTCACCTTCTGCTCAGATTCTCCAATTCGGACAACAGTGCCTGTTCTCCTGAAGAACTGAGTCTGGAGAAAGAGATAAAACAATCTTTTCACTTGCTATTTAATATTTAGGCCAATAAAAAAATAGCAGGGCAATTTAACTTGAAAACTCTTTCCTTTAGCATTTTTATATAATTTTACATTCACATCTTTAATTTTATCAGCATTAAAACAAGAACCCCAAAGCACCAATGTGGAGAGACAAGGTATGTGTCTGAGATACCAAAACTATATCTATCAGTTGCATCCAACTTTCAAAAAGGTAGGCTGTTCTCTGTTTCACTTCTTTTCTGATAATATACTAATATATAATGGTATAATACTAATTTAATAAAATTTATGGTTATATATTAATAAATCGATGCATGTATATTTTCACGCATTCAATAAATGTATATTACTAATCTGTGCTAATATATGTTATATTTGGTAGCGATAAAGCAATTAATTAGAAAAATGTCATGCTTTTAATGAGTTTATATTTTATTAAGAAAATAAACACCCATTGATATACTATATACAATTATATATTTTACTATGAACAAAAGTAAGGAAGAGGAGGTGAATAGAAAATGACAGTGGGTACTCTACTATATAGTGTTTTAGTTTCCTATTGCTACTATAACAAGTTGCCACAAATTAGTGGCTTAAAATAACAATCATTACTTTTATGCCAGGCTCTGTGCTAAGCATTAGAGATCGCAAGATGATATAGGAGCTGTGCACCCATGGAACTTGAAGTCTACTGAGATTAGGATTTGGGTAAGCTTGGGATGTAATCTTCAGGGTATTACTAAATCAAAACCAAAATTTTCATCTATGAGTACATAAGCTCATCCCTCACAAACTGAGGTTGTAAAATAGATCCTGTCTCTCTATATACACAGTTTTTTTTTTGTTTTTTTTTTTTCAATCCTGTCTATATTTTAGATCAGTGGCTTTGGGAAGCACAGTGAATCCAAGTCTAACTTCATCCAAGGAAAGAAAGAACGACTTGTTGGAAGTGACAAGAATGTTTTTTCTTGTCAATAAAAGCAGTTTGTAAAATCTAGAATCAGAGTTTCATAACTTGGAAATAAGCTCAATTAAAAAAAAATTTTTAGAGATGAAGGGACATTTGCATGTTTTTTAATGAGAAGTTTTTTCTTCTGCAAGTCTGTGTAGTGTAATGAGAACAACACACTGGTGTGTATTAGAACTGAGAAGGCTTGAGTTCCAATATAGCCCTGCACTTGGCCTGCTGTATATTTCACCATGTATAACATACCATACAGAAAACAAAAACAACAGAGTTTGTATAATTTTACCATTTATCATTTAGAGAAAAAGAAGAAAAAATTGAGTTGCTGCCAATTTAACTGCTATGAGGTTTCATGTGGTAGACGTGCACTGATATGATATTGATGAACAAGATGCAACACCAGGACCCAGAAAAAACAAGTGTGATTCCAAAAAACTGGCAGTAAGATATCTAGTAACAACTTTATCTATTGAACTCATAGTCGAAAACTATAAATAGAGAAAAACATTACCAAGGATCAAGGTATGACTTTCTACCACGATGTTAGAATTACAGTGAGAATAGATTCATTCTGTCACTAAATTCAGGGCTTTTGATATAACTCAGTGTCATCTTCCTAATTAAGAGACTGCTTTAGAATATTAATAAGCATGAGTAGTCTCTTAGAAAAACAAATACTGGAAATAACAGTTTTATAACCTAATGGTATGCTCAAATGCAATTTTACAACTTTTAGATTAATGTCTTGAAATGTCAGGATGAAAATGTGGTATTTGTTTAAAATATATAAAATTCCTTCACAGTAATTTATTTTTGATTTATGACTCTAAAGGGATGGTGGAAAATATATAATCATTAGTGAGGAAGGACGTAGTTACTGCTAAGATACTGGTGAGAAAAATCATAAATTAAAAGCATTTATCATTACAGTGAAAAAATGAACCAGGCCAAAATGCCTATCAAAAAAGTTAATGATTTTCAAAATAATAAACTTGCCATACTGTAGGTTCATAGTTGTTAACCAGAGTTAAACTATCTCCTTATATGCTTTCATGGAGATTTGCCCATAGAATATTATTATGTTGACACAATATTTGTAAATGAATTTATTATAAAATATTATAAACAAACATTATATATAATTTCTTGTTCATAGTATTGCTTATATTATTATAGAATATTATATATGTATAAATATATAACTGTTATGTGAAATATGTTGTACATATAAATTCATTAGTATATAAATGTATTTATACTTCAAAATAATGTATACTGCATGGTTTTAAATAAAATGTTTACAAGACACGAAGAAGCAAAATATTAATAACACACACTAAAAAACTTAACAACAATCACAGATAAAAAATGTAAAAACCCACTATCAATGACAACCTTGACATACTAAAAGACCCAAAACTATTTAGCTTAGATAGTCTAATTTGAAAACAATATATTCTGATTTGAAGACTATTATATTCAGGCATACTAGAGTTGTAGTGGGAAGGAGTAGCAGCTTGTGATAGCAAAAACAGTCGAGCTCTGGGAAACAAGTATGTATGTATATACTCAGGTTTGTTACAGACTCAAGGAAAATAGAAAATTATTCTTAAAATATTATTAGTGGAATCATAAAATAAAATTAATGTAAAGGATTTCAAAAACTAATACATAAGATTGAGAAGAAATGATCTTCCTTGTAGTATACTTTAAATACTTTACAATTCTCAGCTACCCCATTCTCTATTTTCCAGAGAATAAATGAAATTTTCTGTTAATATGCAAGTAGCTTAAGTTTCTTTATGAACCAAATATTAAATGCCATAAAAATACACACAGTCTCTTTCACACCCAAATATTAAGTACAGATGTTAGGTAAATATTGCTCTTTTCACAAAATAAGAACGTTTGAAAGATAAATAGTCTGTTTGGGAAAAATACTGAAATCATACAGCTGGTAACAAATTCTTTTAGTGTGGAATAACAGGAAATATCAAAAGCTTTAATAAACCTTCATTACCACTTCCTAAACATACTCACAAATAAGCCATTTTCAGAGGAAGCCGAGTATCTAGAGAAGACCAGGTTTTCATGGGTCTTAAAGGACTTGTCACTGAGAGTAGAGAGTTTTTATGTTTCTTTTTCTTCTGGGAACAAAAACTGTAGCTCATTGAGTAGATGTGAATCTCAGATGTCCACAGGTTGCATAATTAGCATCTTTTCTGGTCTCTTGAGACTGGAACTAATCAGAGCAGCAGGTCCTCTCAAGAGCTGTTCAGTAGATACCTCTGGTTTCCCTTTGAAATGGTGTTTCAGTCACATATTTGCTACTCATAATAGTGTTTGAAGGTACTAATGGTGAAATAACTGAAGTTTCCTTTTTCCTTTAAAATAGGAACATGCATATATATTATTCTATCTACCTCACTGATTCATAATAAAATTGATGTAATTAATGCATGACACTATACTCCAAAACTTTTAACAATATTCACATAGAATTTTTATGAGAGATTACACACACACACACACACACACACACACACACAAATAATTGAAATGCTTTGGACTTATTTATGTTAAAATCTATGTCTTCCTTCAGTATAATAATTCGATAGGCATCCTTAAGCTGTGGACAGTGTGATTATTTTGCATAATTTCACATAGGTTTATTAGCTCTTTACATAATTTTGTAGTTAGCTCTCTTCAATCATACAAATAATATAGCAATTATTTATGTGTTTGGAAAAGGTTAGGAGATGGTTTTGTTAAGTTCTGTTAATCTGTTAGCCTGTCTTAGGTATTTTAGCA